GCAGGTCATTCACCAGGTCCCCCCGTGTGGTTCTGGGATCTTTGCTCACCGTTCTCATGATCATTTTGACCCCACGGGATGAGATCTTGCGTGGAGCCCCAGATCGAGGGAGATTATCAGTGGTCTTGTATGTCTTCCATTTTCTGATGATTGCTCCCACAGTTGATTTTTTCACACCAAGCTGCTTGCCTATTGTAGATTCACTCTTCCCAGTCTGGTGCAGGTCTACAATACTTTTCCTGGTGTCCTTCGAAAGCTCTTTGGTCTTGGCCATGGCGGAGTTTGGAGTCTGACTGTTTGAGGCTGTGGACAGGTGTCTTTTATACAGATGATGAGTTCAAACAGGTGCCATTCATACAGGAAACGAGTGGGGGACAGAAAAGCTTCTTACAGGAGATGTTACAGGTCTGTGAGAGCCAGAGATTTTCCTTGTTTGAGGTGACCAAATACTTATTTTCCACCCTAATTTACGAATAAATTCTTTACAAATCCTACCATGTGGATTCATGGATTTTTTATTCACATTCTGTCTCTCACAGTTGAAGTGTACCTCTGGTGCAAATTACTGACCTCTGTCATCATTTTAAGTGGGGGAACTTGCACAATCGGTGGCTGACTAAATACTTTTTTGCCCCACTGTGTGTGTGTGTGTGTGTGTATGTGTATATATATATATGTATGTATGTATATATATATTTTTTATTGATATGCAGGATCATTCACCTGTGTTTTGTTTTTCGTGATCTCTGTTTAGAGTATGCCCAGCTGTTTGCAGCCCTTATAGCCCGAACAGCCAAAGATGTGGATGTACTCATAGACTCGCTGCCCAGTGAGGAGTCCACAGCAGCTCTGCAGGTCAGCACATTCATAAGTATCACCGACTATTTCACATGTGTATATATGTATTTCAGTGTATTAATTCTATTTTCCCGGACATAAAAAAAAAAAAACTAATTCAAGTAGAGGAGCACTGTTAGTATGTCTAGCTATCAGTCAGCAGAGGGAAGTGTGTTTTGTGTGTAAGCAAACTGTTTATAGTCTATAGTGAAATATGTTAAAGACAACAACAGTCATTCTTGTGTTGATCTCTCTCCCGTAAATAGAAAGATACATGGCATCAAGTGTCACTTTCCTGTGCACTGCTTTCTGCTATTAGATTAGACTAGAATAGATTAAAGAACAGAAAATTGAGAATAGGATGTTTCCCAGCAAACATATTTGAGTGCAATACACAGTACTGCCAGTGAGCATTTGTAACACAAATATCTTTGAATGACATTAGTGGTACTTGGAAAACTTGCTAACTTTTTGATCTGTTTCCAGAGACTTTTATCAGTAGACAAAAAAGCAAAAACATCTCTTTTAATATTTTATGGCCTTCACTCAAGAGAGGAACGATAAACACCACGGCTGGAGTGTTCCGATAACGAGATTATTTTGAGGAACATCCATTAAGTAAATGGTAAAGCTCACTTAAACCAGTTAAAACTGCCAAATTGGTAATGTTTGGGAAACTTAGACTCTGAGTACACAGGGAAGGGGGGAGTTTCCCTGCATAGAGGAAGTTTTAGTCTGAGCCAAAGGAAAATCACCAGCATTGTTGTTAAATGATTTCTCTAAAAGATTCATGGATCTTGGCAGTATGCACATTTTTGCTGATGATGTGACTAATAATTGTATATATTGCTGGAAAATTAGGTATTTAAGAAACAAAAAACAAACTTTCATTGCTTTTAATCTGCATGGACCAATCATGCTTAATGTCATTACAAGCTCCAAATGCCTTTTCTGAGCCGAGTAGGTGCTGCTCTTTCTCAAACAAGTATGATATTTATCTCTAGGTAATGTTATAAGAAAGTAAGCCATCCTTACAGGCAGCTCATGTCATTTCTAGCTTTTTATAAGTCGGAGCAGTAGTCGTCAGTCTTTCTGAAAAACAGCCGAGCAATATTGTATAATCAGTGGTGTTGGTTCTTTGTGCAAGGATACTTCTATCTTCATGCGGACCACAGGGCAGCATTTTTTTTAGATATTAGTGCTGTCAGATGTCAGTGGAATTTTGTGAATGAGACTTGCACAGCCCAGAAGTTCTAGTTTCCCTGTAGCTCTCTGAGGGCCGACAATACACGCAACTGGTTTTAGATATAAAGTAAAAAGACATCTGTCATACAAAGCTGTTAGAAATGATCAGCTGTAAGACCACGTCTCAGGAGACTTTCTGCACACATTGCGAATCATGCATGGAATCTCGTCACAGTCTGATGGCAGCTTTTGAACCGTGAAACAGAACTTGTACAAAGTGGTTCTCATCAACTATTTAAAAGTTGCTCACACACACCACCTGCGTTGTGTGGGGATATTGGGTGTACCAGGTGGGAATTCTTTTATTATTCAGTCAGTTATTGTGAGATCTGATGCTCCCAAGTTATACACAATTAAAGGAAACCTTCACTCAGTTGTTATCAGTTATTTGACGCTCCACAAAAGGGAAAATAAAAACACCAAAGCTGTTTTCATTAAATCTGACTGACTGTGACCTCTCATCAGGCGGCCAGTCTGCGGCAGCTGGAGGAGGAGAACCATGAGGCAGCAGCTCGGCTAGAAGAGGTGGTTTACCGCGGCGATATGCTCCTGGAGAAGATCCAGAGTGCACTGGCTGACATTGCCCAATCTCAGCTCCGCACCCGCAACGGGGCACCCAGCCAGCCATCACCGGCTGAATCCTGACCCGAGGAATGCATAATATGATTCTGGACAATTTTCAGTCTTTTCAGCTATTTTTATTTTCTTTGCCTTCAGCCACAATAGGCCATCGTTGAAACTGCCAAACATGGTGTGTGTTCACATGTCAAATGTGTGAACATGTAGATGCTGAAGCGGTTCTGTGTGGATGAGGTCATCTTTATGTTTTTTGTTTGTTTTCTGCAGCTCAGCTAAAGAAGGATGAAGGATGGTGTCTTTACATGCACACGGATCTTTTTTTTTTTCCTGAAATTTTTATTTTAAAAAAACAAAAACAACTTTTGTGGGCCTGAGGAGACCAATCTGACAGGTGTTATGTGATTTATGTACACTATATGTTATATATTTATGTCAGATTTTGTAGATATTGATAGCTCATCTCTCTGAGGTATTTTCTTTTTTTAAATAAACCGTGGACAGCCACATAAGTGTTAATAATATTCCTTTTTTATATAATTTGCAAACTGTTACCACAAGCGTTTTGTACACGAACCATGTGGGTGATGTTAATTGTTGGAGTTTGTTTGTGGCATTGCATCAGTTTCATTTTTTTCATTGGAACTGATACACTAGCAGAAACTGACATGACGTACTGCGAGCCTTTACCAGGAAACAATTACAATTAAAGAATGACCACATTTCAGTTCATGTGACCTTTAAAGGAAATTCTGATGGACACAGCTTTGAGGAACTAAGCTGTGGCTCTTGTATATTTCATAATGTGTTTTGACAAAAACAATAGTGAAAGGAAAAAAAATTTTAAAGGAGGGGAAAAAACAACTCCATAATCTGGTTCTATCGACGGTTTGAAACGTTTCAGTAAAAGGCATGAAAATTTCACATTACAGAAAGTTATGTATATGCGTGTGTTCTGTTCTAACTCCTAGTTAGTCTGATACATCATATTTAAAAAAAACCTAAAGAGCAAAAATCACCTTTGTCACATTTGCAACTAAAATATTTTCACAAGTCATGCAGTGCAATCTTGATTTTTGCAAAACAAATGCTTTCATATTGGCTGAATCCATTTCAGACTGAACTTTGTGAAATCCAGGCTGCAGGCCAGAGACTTTATAGCCCAAATCTAAATATAGGTGCTGTGTCACAGCTCAGTGGGCCCCATTGATGTGAGAAATATAAAAACAGCCTTGTCTGCTGGCCACCACACCCAGACGTGTTAGCGGGACCCACCCGCCTGTCTGCATGTTGACATCATGGTCCTAACAGTAAAAGCACTTAACCCGCCCGAACGAGGAGATTTATGACAGCAAATCTTCACCTGCCCTGGTTTGGTCAACAAAACTTTGTCTGTGCTCAAATTTTGTTATCTGCGTTTTCATTCACATGTGATTAGTGTAGCTTCTCCCTTTAATGTTCTTTGTTTATCCCAAAGGTCTATAGGACAATCTACAAGGAAATGAAAGAGTCCAGATAGGATGAAGACATTTCTAAGCACCACTGATGGGATTATTAAGGAAACAAGTCCGTTCCTTTTTGAAGGGCTCTACTGTAACAATGTTGGAATGCGGACACATTTATTTCGGTTTCTAGTTTAAACAATGAGCACTTTTTAAAGGGTTTGTAGGCAGACAAGCTGTTATCATCTCAAACTGCTATGGCAAAAGTCTCAGATTGTGCCTTAATAGAAAGTGCTATAAATGTGGACTGTGTGACTTTTATCTTATCATACTTTATTACGTTCTATCTGGTTTATTGCCACTAGATAAACGTCCAATAAAATATCCGTGTGGTTTCGATTAGTTCTACTTATATTTTGAATAGCAGTAACATTTCAGTATAACTAACTCCTGCAGCTTTTTCATTTAGTCAACAATTAGAAACCTGATGCTTGTGTATTGATCACCAATGTGACCTTTTATTGGCTTTACATACCCTCTCATTCATACGGTATTTCATAATTATGTGTGAAGAACATTTTGCAATAAAATACCATTTAATACTTGCAAATTATCAGAATAATAAAAGCTATTTTAGTAAGAATTTGCGTTAAGCACAACCAATAAAATTATGTATCAAAGCCTCCAACTGCTGGAAATTCTTTCATCGCTGCAAACGCTTGCTAGCTGGACCCGTCCCCGACTCTTGCAGGGCGGCTTGGATGCTCTTATTGGCCAATCTATCACCCTTATGTAGAGGTCACGTTTTATTGGGCAGAAGAAAACACGGATTCTTTTAGTCATCGCTGATTGGTCGGCGTTAGCGTCATTCAGGCGCTACGCCGTTGCGTTGTCGGAACGTCTGACGAGCCCGACGGTCTCAGGAAGCAGCGGAGCTTATTTCATATTTTGTAGCCATAAAGGACCGAAGGGAACAGTGTGTTTTTGGGGGGTCGGTTGCCACATGTACAGACAGTAAAATATTTTCAAATTATTTCGGCGTGGGGTATTTTTGCCGTCAGAGGTCTTTTGTTATGATTTGGGGTCAATAGCGGTGATGTTTACTGTGCAGCCTCTAAGGTTCCTCTAAGGGGTAGCCTATAACCAGAGCCTCTAGCTTCCAACTGCCTAAAAAATTAGGCAGAAACGATATAAGACATTTCATTTCTTCATTTGGGTCGTGGCCTGGCGGCACGCCAATAATTGACTCTGGAGCAGGACACGGAGGTAAGTGAAAAAGATTTATTTAAAAAAATGCTGTCCATTTTTTATCCTGTCCGAATTGAATTTATTAATATAGTTGAACCTGCCACACAGACACGCAAAGGGAATGTAGCAAATAGGTAGCTCGCACAGTATAGCGTCAAACAAGCTAACTACAAGAAAGAAGCGGTGAATATTCTCCCTAGTGTGAGGCATGCAGCAGTGGCGGACCTATGGTAGCTGAGGTCCGACAGGGTGGCGTCAGTGTAGGTGAGCCGGGAAACATTAGCTAAGGCAAACATGTGCATGTGTACATACCGGTAACTGGTCAATCGCCACATATAAAGGGTGAAAAGCTTAACAGCTGTGCCTTAAAAAATTGCCATTTTTTTGCCATATATTTTGTTCACTTCTAATATGAACTGACTGCTCTCTCTGGTGGATTGGATTTCAGAATGTATTTGAGATAAATGTCCTTTTGTTAAGTTGTTAATATACTTCAGGAATCATTTATTGAGTTTTTAACACACACTTGGCTGTTTAGCTTAAAATAAACTAACTGTTCAGGGGAACATATGCTTTCACAGTTTCTCTGTGCGTAAGCACACATTTGTGTGTTGATTCATGACTGAGTCCTTTCATTCAGGAGGGAAAGGGTTTCCTGTCCACTCACTCCGAGTGCTTTAAGGGTGGAGTGTGTGAAACTGAAGAATTTTTCACACAAAACTGAGAAATCAGTGGTTAACGGGTACACTGAGCTTCATCTGTCCTGATTCTTCTTTCTATTCAAAGTAAAGTATTTCTCCAGAAACACCTGCAGCAGGCTGGATTTTAAAGTTCAGTGGTGCATCCGGGGTTATAGCTTGCCTGCTTGTATGACACTGGCTTCTTCTCGTGCAGATAGTCTCAAACTGATCCACAGATCTCAGAATTCCATTGAGAAATCATTTCTTACTAACTAAAAATCATTCATGTTGTTCTGTTGGAGGTTTTTAGTACTTGAAAGTGTGGGCAAACAATCTGGCAGCTGCCAGTAACACTTTATTTTAAGTGTAAGAAGCTATGTATATATTATGTATTACTTGATTTGTGTAAAATGAATAGATGTTGCCATTGCTGGTGACCCAAGAACAGCCTGTGAACCGTAAAGGAAATGAGTCTGTGTTAGCTTGTTTGACAGAAATCTTCATTATTTTCTGATAATTATGGCTGCTTGATAGACTGGAAATCCTCATTAGAACTGGCTAAAAATAATGTTCCTATGGTTGGACGCTTTCATTGGGACCAAATGCTTTACTGGAGCCACTGGTGTATTTCAGTTCTAGTGGGCTGTTTTAGGCTGCATTCTTAAGTTTCTAAATAGCAAGCCCGAGTTGGTAATGCCTTCCTTATAAGTGCCTGAGTTGCGCAGCCGTGTTTGTTTAGCTGTGGGGTGGATCTGGTTATCTTCAAGCCAACTGAATCCCCTTTAGGCAGAGCTAAGGCCTGGCTGGCTCAGTTATGATGTAACAGTTTAAATGATGCCTCTTTTTCCACCTTGTTTGGAAAACCAGGAAAAAAAAACTCCATGAGGGGAAATTCTGAGTCTCTTTTCACATATTACGAAAAGCACATCATTCCACTCATTTCCTTTCTATGTGGATAATCCAGGTTATCCAGTTTAGGTTGTGAACATTTCTTCTTCTAAGATGGATAAAAAAATAACAGCGCAATCAAACTAAATGAAAGAACTGAATATACTATTTGACTGTCATCAAGATAATTTAAACCTAACACCATGTCATCCTGGATTAGTTCTGCTCTATTCCAATAGCATGCAGGCTCTAACTAATATTGGTGCTTTTTCTGTCAGCACATTAGTCATGAAACCATGATATTCCCAGCCAAGAACAAATTAAGAATGCACAATCTTTATTTTAAGCATAATAATAATAATAATAATAATAATAATAATAATAATTATCATTATCATTATTATTATAGATGGATAGCAAACAAGCTCTTTTGTATAACCCATTTATCTTAGTCTGCATGGTAACGTATGTGTAGAAGCCAATTTACTGTAAGTTCATGTCCCTCTCTAATGACTTTAGTCGAACATACAGTGAAACTCCTGCTCCTCGTACACACTGGTGTTTATGTGTGCAAAAGCAACTGTCTAAAATACATAAAATAATACTATGTTACTTTGTGACAATGAGCACTAAAGAAATAGTCAGCTGTCTTTCAACTGAGCGCGTCATAGGTGAGCTGCACCTTCACTTTCTGAACCGCAGCAAGCAGCGGTCCTCGGTCTGCTCTCTTCTCTCAGCAGTGAACTTGGTCTGCTGGCAAACGAATCAGCTCTCCGCCTGCTTCAGGTTCTGGTTAGAGTGATGCTCCAGCTCAAATAGGTTCTCTCAGGCTGAACAAGGACTGCCGTCACTGATGTCTGTCTGATTGCAGAATGGAAATGGGAATGAGATGGGAATGACCCAAGCTAGCTGGTTAAGAGTGACCATTAGCTGTGCATATTGAAGCTCTGTATATGGCTCTGTATTTCATTGAGCCCTAAATACTTATCCTGTGAAAACTTTATGGGAGACTCAGGATAGATGTCTGCACGGCAGTAGTCATGACCCATGTTGTCTCCTTTAAAAAAATATGCAAACATATAATTTATATAAAATACACAACTCAAGGCCACATAACTTTGGAGGAGGGGTGGGGGCAAACTCTTCTATATTTCAAAATAATGAAATGGAGAGACTGCATAGTAGACAGTAGGGCTGCCACGATTAGTCGACTAGTCACGATTATGTCGACTATTAAAATCGTCGACGACTAATTTAATAGTCGACGCATCGTTTGAAGCTTTGTAAGATCACAAAGGACGCAGGAATGAGTAGTAGGATTTAAGAGTGTAATAACGGACTGAAACAGAAGGTGGCAGCACTGCATGTCCAAGGATGCCAGTTGCCGTTAAACCCCGAAGAAGAAGAAGCTGTGTCCCAGAATTCATAGCGCAGCCCAGCGCAGTTGTCAACAATGGCGGCAGCTAGTTAGTTTTAACTTTACTCTTATTATTCTTTCTGGGTCACAAAATAAACGTTTAACATATTTTCAGGCGAGAATGTAGCTGTGTAAACCTCAAATATCTGCTCAGTTTATCAAGACACCACATATTTTCAAAAGCGCTCCGACGTTTTCGTCTGTTACCCACTAGCTCGTTAGCTAGGCGGGGGCAAGGCTAACTAGAGCCGTGAGAACACCGGACTCCCCCGGCAAATCGTTTTCAAACCCACCGCCGTCTTCCGCTAGTCAGGTTAAACATATATATATATATATAAGTCACTTAGATAACTTAAAAATGTTATTGTTTGGCTTTCTTTAGTATTTTATTTGTTCCTGAGTAAATCGGTTTGGCTGAGATTAAAGTTATAGTTTTTGCACAGCTAAAACTGTCAAGCAGACAGCTGATTGTCAGAAGTGTGAGACGCTGGAGAATATACTCCGGTGTCCTGTTATATTTTAGAAAGCAAGGAGTTTATTAAACTTCACCGAAACAATCTGCAAATTTCATTAAAAATTAATAAACTACCATCTTGTCTTTATTTTTAGTTAGCACAAACACTTCAAGCTGTAAGCTAATGATAGTTATATAAGACCAGATGCTGCTGGTGCAATAAGCTGTACGTCCAATGGATGATGATCTGATTAGTCGACTAATCGCAAAAATAATCGGTGACTAGTCGACTATCAAAATAATCGTTTGTGGCAGCCCTAGTAGACAGTGGTATACATACAAGCCCACAGCAAATGAGCAACAGCTTCTGCTGGGTTATTGCAACACCACTTGAACAAACCACCTGCAGATATGAAATACTACGCCAGCTCATAATATTACTGGTCATTTGTTTACTTAATACTTATGGTTATAAATCTGTTGATTATTTAAGGCAGTGGTGCATAGTTGTAGTATAGCTATTTTTTTATTTCACAATATTTGGATGGACATTTTGACTACATGCAGAGGATGTGACCCCCTTCCTGTTTATGCATTTAAACGATAGCTCCGTGATAACCTACACTTTGGGTTAGCTAATACGGTATCCTTTTTCTCCAGAGTGCTCTTATCGTGTCAATAAAGTCGTCTAATGGTGGGGATAGGGAGGTATATGTCTATAATTCATGCACTTTCTTTTAAGTCCAGTCTTATTAAGTAAGGCCCAGCCATTAGCCGGTGCCTAATCAGCAGTCAAAATCATAAATCTAGTCAGTAACTGAAATATTAGCTGTAGTCACAGAGAAATAAACTTGTCCCAGAGTGAGTGACCTCTAATGTAGTAGTTTGTAGTAGTTGCTGAGGTGGTGTGGTATCCACTTCTTTATGAAGAAAAGTGTGCTTGCAGGTAGAGTACACAGAGGTCCAGTCATAGCTGATGGAAACCTTAAAAAAGTTGCACCACATCTTGCCCACGTGAATGCACAAGTGTAAGTGTGCTTGTTCAGAGTTGCTGAGCTCCCAGCGTGTGCTGTGGTGCAGGTACATCAGCACAGACCTCGCTAACGCAGAAGCCATTGTTTGCTACTGATCCAGTTTTCCTCCCAGTTTGCAGCAGTGATTCAGGACTTTTCTCAGAAGTCAGGAAATGTCTTGTTGTTGTGGGATCGCGGGGCCATAACGGGAAAAAGACCAGTGACTAGACGAAACACGGGTCCTATCTTTTGCCTGCAGGGCTGTTTTATCTCCTTGTGAACTAATCAAGCCCATTCATACCTTTTCTGATAGCGAACTGCTGAAATGTTTTGATGATATACACGACCCCCCTTCTTCTTCTTCTTCTTCCTTCCTTACTTCCTTTGTTACATAATATGTTCACAGTCTGTTGTTTTTGTGTTTGTGTTTTTTATATTCTATGAATTTCGCTGGGGGAAAATCAAACTTCCTTCTTCTTTTTTCCTTTCTTGTGCTCTTTAGCATGATCATTTGTCTCTGATTATGTTTAAACTACTAGTGGCCTCAGCCTCACGTGCATGTATGTTTCTTTTGCTGCCTGAGCTTTTCATTCCACCCACATGAGGGCTTTGTAGAGAAAACTCTTCCCAAGTAGTTGAACGTTTTCAAGCTCTTTCATCTGGACTTAAGGCTACACTGCTTGGGATCTGTTCCAGAGCTGAACCCTTGGCATGAATGTACATTGTCACTTTTACAACACGCAAGGGTTTGAAACAGTAAAGCCAGTGTTGGTAACGCCTGCTTTTTCTATAAAGTGTGCTGTTGCTGCAGTTACACTAATAAACTGCTTTGGCTGATAAAGTGGACAATATGAGCTACGGTAATTACCAGTAATATTACACTGGTATCTATGGCACATGACACATGGCAAGAATGGCTGAAATGACTTAATTCAAGGATGTCAAACTCTTTTTAGTTTGTGGGCCACGTACAGCCTTCTTTGATTTTAAATGGGCTGGACCACACTCTACTTTCTGTCAGTGTAAACTACACATGTAATCCCTGAGACATCATAATTTAAGAAAAAGAAGTAAAATTTAAATAGTGTTTCCCAGTTTCTATAATGAAAAACTTTTTTTTGTCTATTACTTAATTACTCTGGTGTAGTATGAATGGCCATGGGAGAGGTCTTTATCAGCAGGAAAAGCTGTAAAACTAAAAAATACAGTTAAACGTACAAAACTTATGTCCACCTTCACATTTTATATGAATATATGTTATTTATGTGTTATTTAAACCTCTCTGACTCCAATCCAGACCAGTGGATGGGTATGGAGTCAGAGTTTCGGAGGTTTAAATAATATATCCTCTTTGAAGTAGTGGCTAAACAATACTAGATTTGATGTTGAGAAATCCTTCCTGCATTCTTAAATTTTAAAGTTTGAGCAACATGCCATAAAGGTAACTCTGTCACAGGCAGCATATTAGCAGATGATATGAGTTGGGAAAGCTTGGTAGATGCTCACTGTCACAGTATTAGATATGAAAAAGCAGCCTGAGGCATCACTAACATGTGCAAACAGTACAGGCTGTATCAAACAGAATCATGTGGTTCTGCAGCTGTTAGCCCGGCAACGACTGTAAACACTTTCGTGAGTTTCACGTAGTTGCTGGTAGGGAGCAACAGCAGTGGCTGCAGTGGCTCAATACATGCTTGCAAAAGTATGGGTCCAGTTTACTATCTGGAGCACATTGAGCACTTGTGAACATGTTTGTGTGTAAAACTTTAAATTCAAGAAATGTATTGGCCATGTATTTGCCACAAGCTTCCATGTCCATTACTTTAAAAAAGCACAGCCTTTTGAAAACGCCTCTTTGATACACCCTGCCATTGGTTACACATTAAAATACAGTATTGAACAATCTGCTTAGTTACCAATCATGGCGACAACACCTGACTCAGAAACATCATCCAGTCAGCTGCGGTGCTGCAGACAGGGATGAGGCTGTAGTAAACCAGTGAGTCGGAGCTGCTGTGCACAGGCAGGGCTGTTTATTTTGGCGCATATGTGATAACACTTATGTGGATAGTAAAAATAAACTAAAAGTACTGGCTGACTGATGGAACGGTCTGGCTCTATTTTGACATTAGACCTTTTTTGTTTGCTCTAAAGCAGACACTTGGCACGCCAGGAATAATGTTACTGTCATCCTTCTACATGTATTTATGTAGTGTAGTACTTTTATGGTAAGTCTGCCGTGACAGTCATGGTGGTGTGCAGTCCCTTTCCAGTTCATAGAGTATGTGTAATCGTACCTCAGATACAGGTGTGTCCACGCCCTCGTCGTTACCTGAGGGCTGCAGTATTTGTGGTGGAAACACTGTCATGGCCGCGCAGAATACAGCACAGTTTGCAAACAGGACGGGCAGAGTGTAGCTTTTATAATCTGCTTATATTCTGTTTCTATGAGAGTTACTTCACAAGCTGAATGCATGGAGTGAAGACTTGCAAGGTCAAATTTTAGCAGAGGACCGAATCAACAGACGTAAGATAATAAACGGAGCATATTATATTGTTGTGTTTGACTGTGTGGAAGCATAAAATTAGTTTAGAAAGCAGTCAGAGTGACAGTTTCAAAGGAAATTCCTTTGAACTCCTTTGTTTCTGTTATCTGTTATAGTTTATTGATTTATGTTAAAATTGAAAGGAAAATAAAACACAGACAAAGAATTTCTGGGTGTGGCCTGTATCCTGGTGATATTTTAAACCTTCCCTGAGGTTACCTGCTGTCAGTCGAGCTCCTACCTGGCAGTGGGGAGAAAACTTTCGCGGCGCTCTGATTATGGAGTTTGCACATGTCTGTCTATATCTTTGGAAACGCTAGTGTGGAGTGGATAGTACAGATACTTCCTGCATATCAGCGGACCGATGTGCACAATCTGATCTTTGTTCTTTTATTGTTTCTGTTGTCTTGCAGGATAGTATGGCCATGACGGGAGGGACTGCAGCTGCCCTTCCCATGAGCAACCACACCCGAGAGAGGGTGACAGTGGCCAAGCTGACACTGGAAAATTTCTACAGCACTCTGCTCACCCAGCACGAAGAGCGTGAGATGAGGTACTGCATAGAACTTTTTATTCCTTTACTAACTGAGCATCATACCAGTTAAATGCTTAGGTTATGCACGCATCAAGTGTCCCTCCGACTAACCACTGGAAAAGCTAACAATGCAGACACGTTTCATCCTAGGTGTGAACACAACACAGGGAATCTGACCACTTCTGTTCTCACGTTACCTGAGAGTCGATCTTTTGTCCAGGCGTCACAGTTCAGTGGCTCCTGTAAAAGAAGGCTGGGTCCCTGTTTACACCCCTCCATAAACAGGGGGGGATTCATTTTCAAGATTTGACACGTCCGAGGTCATCGAATCTCTTCCTGTTTTTGTTTTGTTTTTTCCCCCCTTTTTTCATTTTTCCTCTCCGCTCTAATTTGTGTATCATGAGGAAGCTTGTGTGTTATTTGCATTTTTTTTTTTAAAGGAATCTATTGTTTTTATTCATAGGCAGAAAAAACTGGAGAAGGCCATGGAAGAGGAAGGTTTACCAGATGAGGAGGTACAGTACGCTTTGTACTTTAGTTACATAATTCCTACTTTTCTCTTTTCGTTCTTAGACTTATTCACAAATCTGTTTTCTTTACAGAAAGTAATGCGGCGCTCTCAGCATGCCCGAAAGGAGACAGAGTTTTTACGACTGAAGAGGACACGACTCGGTTTGGATGACTTTGAGTCCCTAAAGGTCATTGGACGAGGTGCTTTTGGAGAGGTACATTTAAACAAAAAACTAAAACAAAACTCGAGCCTCCAGGATTGTGGGACTGTAATCAAAAAGGTGTCTCTTTGTGATTTTGACTGATGCTGTGTCCCTCAGGTGCGTTTGGTACAGAAGAAAGACACAGGCCACATTTATGCCATGAAGATTTTGAGGAAAGCAGACATGCTGGAGAAAGAACAGGTAATGCGTTTGCCTGCGTCACAGTTCTCCAGGATAATAAGCCATACTTGTTCTGCTGCATTCAGGATCCTGTATCTGCGCTCTCCCCGTAGGTCGCTCACATCCGGGCAGAGAGGGATATTCTGGTTGAGGCAGATGGTGCCTGGGTGGTCAAGATGTTCTACAGCTTCCAGGACAAGAGAAACCTCTACCTCATTATGGAGTTCCTGCCTGGAGGTTAGTACTGGCAAAATCCACAGACCATCTCAGGTCACCTGATGTTAGGATCTCAGATCTAAAAGGTCTGACCTTTTTGCCAGGTGACATGATGACACTGCTGATGAAGAAGGACACTCTCTCTGAAGAGGCCACTCAGTTCTACATCGCAGAGACAGTACTGGCCATTGACTCCATCCACCAGCTGGGATTCATCCACAGAGACATCAAACCGGACAACCTGCTGCTGGACTCCAGAGTGAGAACAGAAACACAAAAGCACATGCAGATTCACAGAGACGTTTCCAGATTTCCGATATCATAATCTGTAAGATGCAGACTCCTTAATTAAATGTTCATTTGCTCACAGGGACATGTGAAACTGTCAGATTTTGGCCTGTGTACTGGGCTGAAGAAAGCTCATCGCACAGAATTTTACAGGAACCTGACGCACAACCCGCCCAGTGATTTCTGTGAGTCACGAACATGACATCCTCAACAAAATAACATAACAATAATTCTGGCAAAACTATTAGAAACAAAACTTTTCATGTAATTTTTTTTTAATGGTTGTTTTTCTTTATTTTTCAGCCTTTCAAAATATGAACTCCAAGAGGAAAGCAGAGACCTGGAAGAAGAACCGGAGACAGCTGGTATAATTTTGGCATTTTACTAGACAAATTATAGGAGAGAGGAATGGCACTCCTGAATTGAAGTCAGAAAATTGACTGATTGTGTCAGTGACAGAAGTAACTTTTCAAAAATTGTATTATTATTAAAAATTCTATAAAAGCAGAAGTTTTGGCAGCTTGTTTGCCTGTAGAATGGTGAAAACCAGGCACAGCATATCAGCACAAACACCACACGCTAACTGTCATGAATGTTAAAGGAGGTGTGATGTGCAGCCACAGTACCTGCACACCTTGCAGTCAATGAGTGGGACTTGAACTCCTCTGTATACCAGAATGGAGTCCAAGTTTGAGCTAACTGGGTCATATAACAGGATGATGATCCCAAAGGAAAAGAATCAAGGTGTTGCAGTGGCTCAGTCAAAGTCCAGACCTCAGCCTGATTGAAATGCTGTGATGGGATCTAAATAGAGCTGCACATAAATGAACTGAAGCAATGTTATAAAGAGTCAGACAAAATTCCCCTACAACAATGTGAGAGACTGATGAAGTCATACTGAAAATGAGTACTTCAACTTATTGGAGCTAAAGTTGGCTGTTGAATCACAGGGATGTGAAAACATTTTTTTTTCACATGACTGTAAATGAGAAGCTTTCAAAGAAAAGAGTAGGTGTACTACAGACAGCAGAATAATAAAGAAAGCATCTCCCTGTTACAGTAAACTTGATGTTATTGTTTCTACGTTTCAAGGTAAAAACCTTCACCTCTCATCTGGTGTGACTTTCAGGCTTATTCCACTGTGGGAACGCCAGACTACATCGCTCCTGAAGTGTTCATGCAGACGGGGTACAACAAACTGTGCGACTGGTGGTCTCTGGGTGTGATCATGTATGAGATGCTCATCGGTAAGCATGACACACACAGAGGGCACCAATATAGGACGATTTGAAGAATTGCATTTACACAAATACAACTGATAGCTTACAATGTTATTATCAAACATCTGCTGTCAATGGCAAAAATGCAGTATATGGAACTTTGTGAGCAGGATTTCCTGAACTTACAGAAAGTACTGGAACCTGAGCAGGGACTTTTTGTGGAAGAAAAAATAATTTCCCTGGAACTTTATTTAGATCCAGGTCCCTGTGATGGAAATGTAGTGATTCTCATAAGTTTCTGGTTCCTTGAAAAAGTTCCTGCTGTGAAAAATAGCCACTGTTGGGTTAATATTTCAAAGACTCTTTCATGCTTTGCAGCTTTTAAATGGATGTAAATGAAAGAAAAACTGAAGTACCCACAGGTTCTTGACAGACAATCATTAACTCGGCTGGATTATCCTGTCAGAAGAGTCAGTAATATCAACTGCTCTGCCACAGATGTTATAACATACTTGTTGGTTCTCTATCAGGTTATCCGCCCTTCTGCTCAGAGACACCACAGGAGACGTACAGGAAGGTTATGAACTGGAAGGAAACACTTGTCTTCCCACCTGAAGTTCCCATCTCAGAGAGAGCCAAAGACTTGATATTAAGGTATAAACTGTATGTTTGGCTAGACTGAGCCTTTATTCTCAGAGGAGAAACTGCAGCTTGAGCTGCTTTTCTTTCCCTTCATTTCACTGTAGTCGATCTGGCTAACTGTGATGATAATTAGAAGCTAACAAATTTCTGTCATTGACGCTTCAACACTTTTTTGGGGTCATTTTCCTGCCTGTGTGTTTTAGATATTCAGAAAAAAATTTAAATCTTACACAAACTTGCAGCACAAAGAACAACTTTGGTTCTCGTGATGATGACTCTGATGGAAGCTACAAGCCAACATGTGTGGGTTAAGCAGTTACATTGTTCCTTATTCTACAAGTACTACTGGGGATGTAACCTCTTCAGATCTCTTCCTCGTGAAGCTTGGAAGCAGGTGAAGTTATGCCAAGAAAACCTCTGCTGTGTTTTAGGTTTTGCACAGATGCAGAGAACCGGATCGGAGCTGTGAGCGTGGACGAGATCAAGAGCCACCAGTTTTTTGAGTCGGTGGATTGGGAGCACATCAGGTACAAAAGAGCATATCTGCTGCTTATGAATGCAGTCCCCTCGGGAAAGTGAAAAACGCAACGCATCTTATTTCTATTGATGATTCTCTACAGGGAGCGGCCAGCCGCCATCTCCATAGAAATCAAAAGTATTGACGACACCTCTAACTTTGATGACTTCCCTGAATCGGACATCCTTCAGCCAGGTTTGTTTTCCGAAAGCTTTTCTGTCGCCGCTAGAGGAAAATCCTGATTAGGAACACTGACTAGCCTTTCATCAGATTCAGACATCGCATGACAAACCACAGATGAGTCATTGCAGTTCTCAACAAAAGCAGAAGTTGTAGTCCAATTTAACATTTCATCATTTCTGTAAGCTCTAAGAAACAACTGTGTTATATCTATCTTCCACCTTTCTGTATTTCCTGTCATAAAGCACCCAAGCTACAAAAATGTTGCGATACTGTCTGAAGCAAAAATAAAGACACAATGCAGTAATTTTTTACATTTACTTTATTGATCCTATAACACGGAGTGAATGTGATGGATTGTCCATGATTAGAGCAGTTTGTTCAGTCCCCTCACTGACTTAAATGCCTCCAGATTTTGGCCAATGATGGTGCTGGCTTGGCTAAGTTTGTCAATCCTGCTCGTTAGGAAAACGACACGGTCCTGGTTGGGATGTTGGAATCAGAAGTTTAAATAGTTGATGCCATTGATGTCATCCCCATGTGGATCTCAGTGCACGTGTCAGTCTGTAGTGTCAAAGCAGCCATGCACGGCCTCACCTCGGTAGCTTGTTGACTCCACCGCCCCACAGACTTGGTGACAACAAGGAGTCTTTGAACTGCAGGGACACACTGAGGTGTTAACAGGACCAGCTTGTGGGCTGATCTACATAGTGAGGACCAGGCAGTGTCTTTTTTTTTTATGAGTTTGTGTTGATACACAGACAGTCCAGTTTTATTGTCGTGTGTTTTACAATCGACATACTACTGAGAAGTTGGAAGAGTGGGCACGGTTAGTCATGGTTAGTTGCCACTGATGGTGATGAAAATCTCAGAGTGTAGTAGGAGCTGGTTTGGAAATACAGAACCATTCCTCTCAGTGCATTCATGTGTTTGGAAAAGGACATGGATCAAAGGACTAGGTGTTCATTCTAAACAATTTCAAATTTCAATGGGCTGACCACAACAGCTTTGCACTTTAAATGTGTGTTGGCTCAGGGAGAAGTTCCAGGATCTTGCTCACCTATAGCTTCTTCTTTGAGAGATAGAGCTTTAACCTGTATTTGTGGATGGCATAGTGAACTGTGTTCAGAGAAGATGATTTCTGGACGTGTTCCTGAGCCCGTGCAGTGATTTCCATGACACAGTAATTTCTGATTTTAATGCAGAGCTCCCTGCGGGCCATGTGCATCCACTGTTGATTGTTAGCCCCGTGCACACAGACATTTCTCCAGATTCTCTGAATCTTGTGGTAATATCATGTACTGTAAGTTAGATATTCAAAGTCTTCACCGTTTTACTGACCTGTAGCCAATTTACTCTGATTACTTGCAAAGTGTTCCTCCAACTGTTTCCTTTCAGTGCCATTTATGTTTGTTGCCCCATCCCAAATATTTTGAGTAATGTTGCTGCCATCAAATTTAAAATGCATTAATATTTTTCATGAAACACTAAAACATCTCAGTTTAAACATTTTACGTTTCATATGTTCTAATGTGAGTAAAATGTGGGTTTTTTTATATTTGCAAATAATTGCATTCTGTTTTTATTTATATTTTATACAGTTTTTATGAGCCAAAAGCTTAGGCTTGAAGGTATGTCATTCAGAGTGAATATCTCTAAAATGGTCAGCAGCTTCACCCACCTGCTGGTCAGACCTTATGTTTGCAAAGGGCAACCAGTCAGAACACAGCTGGATTAAAAGGAAGAAGAGCTAAAATGGCTTGTTTCAGATACAGACTGAGGGGCTCAGTCTAAATAAGTCATATTTTATATTGTAATGTGTTAAAATATATGAGGGGGGATATCATTGCATAGTCTGTGGTGCCCCCAAGTGGTAAATTGCTTTTGTTGTTTGTCTTTGTGAAACAGCTAACGCAACGGAGCCAGACTTCAAATCAAAGGACTGGGTGTTCCTCAACTACACCTACAAACGCTTTGAGGGCCTGACTCAGCGAGGGACCATCCCCACATACATGAAGGCAGGGAAGGCTTGACACACTCAAACGGGTGGACGGTGTGGTGGAGAAAAATAGACGTTTACGGACACAGGGTCGGGCCCCGGAGCCCCGCTGGTGCTGAAGGCTGCGCTGTCAGCCTCTCAGTCTAAATTTAACCTTCATCATAAGTTATTTAGGTCTGCTCAGCCGCGGCAAGAAAGCCAAGAACTCGGAAATTAAAGAGCATTACCGCATTACCTCGGTTGTTGATATTGTATACACGTGCCGTCTTTAGCCATAGCACTCAGGCCAGCTCACTAACTAGGACACTAAATCAGCATATCTGCATGTTCAGCGGCATACTGCTTCTGGAGAAGTTGTTTTTTTTTTTAATTTTATATATATACATACATACATACATACACGAGAACAAGGCTTGAATTCAAATGACTGCTCAAACTTTTTAACATAAGTTTTTACACTGGTGGCTAGTCAGATGCAAACTGCATTTCTGATATTGAAAATGAGCTCTATACACTGTAGTCAAACTCTGGATGATTGGTAAAATCAGGAACCCCTCACTTATTGTATCCAATACTCTGTTATCAAGTTCCAGCATGATTTCCAGTGTTTTTTTTTGCTGACTTTCCAAAGTGTAATTAAGAGTTAACCCCAACTGAAGAATATAGGAGCCAACTGTCTAGTGGTCAAACAAAAAAAAAGTTTTTTTTAGAACTAAAATATTAGCTCACAAAGTTGTAATGGATCCCAATTAAAGGTCAGTTGGTATCAAAACTGTAAAACGGCTTAGGTTAACAGCACAAGCTATGTGTTTGGATAGTTGTAGTTTGGATAATGCTAGCTAAACGGTGCTGCTGGCTCAAGGTATAGTTGGTCCAACAATGATTGGACAGGTGTAACATCGTCTAGTGTCATCATCGGGTCAAAGTTTATGCGACAGAGGCCTCTAAAGTTAGCGATAGCTGCAGCATTCTCACAGTCTCAGCTTTGCTGTCTTATGCTAATTAGCAAATGTTAGCATGCTAATACACTAAACCACTGTGGTGAACACGTTAAACATTTTAGCATTGCCACTCTGATGTTAGCATGTAACACCACTGTAGAGCATTCTTTACACTTAAAGTGTAACAAAAAAATTCTCTCTATATATAAAAAGTGACTTTGCATTCACAATCTAGCTATTAGCATTTAGCTGTTAGCCTGGTTCAAAATCAGTAGCATCAAAAGGATAGAAAATCTAAAAGAAATGAGCAAAAAACTCAAATCATGCTGGAACCATCCTCTAACCCTCGTGCTAGTGAAACCGTGTGAGTTTGTGGCAGCTTAGCGAGGGGAACCCAGCCTGCAGCGTTGTCTCAGCACAGTTGCTTTTCTCGCATAAGAACAGCTTGTTGCCAGGAAACAATGAAATGCAGTTTACCCTGTGCTGGACATCAGTTTCTGCAGCGTGTTGCCCTATTTGCATTGCCAAACAAACTGCTGAGCGTGCCCCTTCTGATCTGAGTTTTGGTCAGATCAGTGCTAAAGTACTTGTTATTTCCTCTGATTTATTTGAAATTCTGATCAGTGCACGGGCCAATCGCTTCTTTTTTTTCTTAGGTCGACAAAACATGCAAAGTGCCTTTTCATAGAGCTGATAAATATTTAACCAGATATATAGGTGAGACCAATAAGACGGCATTCATTATAACCAACTGTTTTGACTCAAAGTGGAAAGGAGTAAGCGAAAGCACTGATGTTTCGATTTGATGTGTCTGCAGAGTGATAAGGCATATCTGTGGTGATAAAGCAGTAAGAAACAACAGGACTACAGAAAAGCAGGTGGCTTATAGGTTAGGTAATAAATGGGAGACTCATAAAATATGTGTCAAGGAAAACACAATGAACAGTTTGTCTTTGTTTGACAAGTAAGGATGAAAGTTGTAGATTAACACAGTGGATCTTTGTGTATTCAAGTTCCTGCATTTTTTTTTTTTAAATGTCTAGAAAAGGATACCTTTTACCATGAACAGCAGATCTGAGGCTGTTTTCTCACTTTCTCAACAAGACATTTAAGCTTCATGTGTGCTCAGAGTTGGGACAAGGCACAGTGCTAAAAAATGCTTACCAAAGAACTCTGACCCTCACAAATTCACATGTAGCTGTCGCTTGCTGCACTTAACTTAAAACTACCTGCCAAGAAGGGAAAAAAAGGGTTCCAGGAGAGCTAAACTTGGTTATGGAATAAATTGCCATTTCTATTTGTACACATGTGAGAAAATGAATGTGCGGGAGATTGATGTTTCTCAATTAGGATATCTATAGGTTCACCCGCAGGGAAGGGAAATCTACTGAGGACTTTACCGCAGTTCAGCCGTAGCCATCACAGGAATGAATCCTTTATGAAACTGAAAGTGTTCCTTATTTCTGAGGGATGACGGAGACAGTGCATCTACAACTGATTGATTTCATTTATATTTTTCCCCTTCCCCTTCAAGCTAGTCCTGCTGAAAATGTGATGACACATATGATGACTAATGAAGGATTTTGAGGGCAGATGCGTGAATATTTTTTCTGTTATTTATTATTTCCTTGTTTTTCATTAAAATGCTGATGAATTGGATTCATTGGGAATGTTCAGTATACTGAAAAAAGGATTTTATTTTTTTTTTTTTTTTTAAATGTTGTTTGACCTCAAATGTAAAGGGGTATTAAACTTGATGCCAGGATATACTGTAAACCTGACATATTCTATAATGCAACATATGATGTGGTGTTTTTCTATCTCCCAAAGCTTGTGTCTTCCAAACTCTGTACCGCCTGTTTTTAAAGTTCATAGTCTGGTGACATCACTGTGACATCATCAGAGTAAAGTTTTCAGACTTCTCCCTCTAGAAAAACACCAGACTACACTATACTCCTGTCCATAAAGGGAGGCTAATACTCCCTATGAAAATTGGTGATGCCCTTGAAACACAAGCCAAAACAATCTGCATCATATCACACAGTCAACCCTATGGACTGTTTTTAATTGACACGGATGGGGCTAAGACCTGGGTACAACAGGTCAGGAGCAGGACCCATACATTAGAAGCGGATTGTGTTTGCTGATGGCTACCGCTGCACATTCAAGGTTCTGTCTAATCACTGGAATGCTCTGACACAACCTGGGTATCAGCGCCCGAGTGCTGTATTCAGAGCTTCCTGTTTCACAGCCAAACAGTAGAGGTTGTTCATGGTAAGCTAGTCTGTGAGTGTGTGTGCAACTGCACGAGTGATTAAAAATGCAGTTTTTGTTAAGTAGATACTTTCTGGTGTTCAGTGTCCTAACTCTGTTTTGTGATAGATTTTTTTTTTCTTCATGAAAACTGAGGGTAAATCTTCTATTGGTATCCATACAATTCTTATATATACATACTGACTTGAAATCCATTACTGTGTCACTTTATCTAAAGGGAATAGAATTATTGTGGCTTTTTCACGAGGTTGAGTTCATGAAATGTTTCACTTTTATCGTTCATTAAGCCAGACAATTTACTTCTGATGGACCAAACCAGCCTAGACGACTCAGCCTTGGTGTCAGACACGTCATTGTTGCCCAATGTTTCAAGAAATATATTTAACATTGACTAAGAAAGCTTCCGAGTGATTTGGCAAATAATTTGAAATTTTCCCTTTGATGAGGCAAATTAAGGTTCTCAAACCACCCTCCACAGGCCAATACTGTGTCGTGCGATATTTTGTGTAATGATGTGTACATATTGTTGTAGACACTTGAAGGCAACTGTGTGGAGTTGAAGAGGAAATGCTCATTAATATATTCATTCACATCATTGAGTTTTTATGTTGATAAAATGCTTAAAATAATAAAATTAAACACTTCATGTCTTAAGATTTCTTCAATGTTTGGGGGGGGGTCATACTGGATGATAAATGAATGCTTGAACTCTAATCAGACTAAAGTGTGATCACACATTGATAAAAATGGATTGTTAGTGTTTATTTAAACACCTAAGGCTAAACCAGCAGGGCTTCCTGTGTGCCGCCTGTGGAGAAGGCTGCAAAATGACTCTTGAAGAACATAAGGTGTGCTACTGTCCGTGACTGCGAGGACTATAACTTTTGCAGCGCTGACCTGGGTCATCGTTTTAAGTTACAACACTGAGCGGGTCACTGCACAATGGATAATCAGAACTTTCAAAACTTGAACTTCAAAAAGACATTTCCATCAAACTCTTATAATATAGAGAGCAGGCGTAGGCAACTTGAGGCCTTGAGGCCTCAAGTGCTGGTGTCCTGCTGGTGTCCTGCTGGTTTTATATGTCACCCTGGGTCAACACACCTGAATCAAATGAATAGTTCATTACCAGGCCTCTGGACAACTTCAAGACATAGTGAGGAGGTATTTTAACCATTTAAATAAGTTGTGTTGGATCCAGGACACATCTAAAATCTGCAGGACACCAGCCCTTGAGGCCTGGAGTTGCCTACCCCTGATATAGAGGCACAAGCAGTGTCAGTCCATTGTCTTCCTGCTATGATTATTGCCGCTACTAGAGGGAGCTCTTGTTGCAGCTTTACTGCTGATCAAAATCTTATGAATGGATGTTGTGGTTTAGCTAGCTAGCTACTGAAGCTACATGTTGTATACACTGTATAGATAGCTGTTTACACTCACTGGGCACTCTGTTCCACCATATTCAAAAGGTGCTCTATTGGATTTAGATCTGGTGACTCTGGACATCTTAAGGGTATAGTAAGCTCCCTTTTATCACCAATAAACCACTTTGAGATGTTCTGAGCTGCTGATGTGTTGCATTGTGCTCAGTTGGTTCTGAGGTACCCAAAGTTTGTCGGTGGAGGAGTGACACCCAGTGTGGTCTTCTGCTGAAGCCCATCTGCTTTACAGTTTGATGTGCAATAGATTCAAATATGCTCGCCTACACACCTCAGTTGTAGCGAGTGGTTGAGTTATTATTGCCTTCCTATCAGCTTGAAGCAGTCTAGCCATTCTCATCTGACCTCTGATATCAAGAAGACACTTTACAATGAGAAATGCTGCTCACTAGACATTTTCTCTCTTTCAGCCCATTCTCTGTAAACCTTACAGATGGCTATGTGGGAAAATTCCCAGCAGAACAGCAGTTTCTGAAATACTCAGACGTCTGGCACCAACAACCACGCCACGTTCATAATCCCCTTTTTCCTCGTTCTGATACTCGCTTTAAACTTCAGCAGGTCGTTGTGACCATGTCTGCATGCCTAAATGCACAGAGTTGCTGCCATGTGTTTGGATATTTAGATATTTGCCACCTTAAAGTTAACTTTAGGGATGTATTGAACAGCTTTTTGATTGCACATTTAAAAGCAATCTTTCTAAATCTGGTCTATTTAGATTATTTTGCAGGTATATTATTCACGAACAGCTTAAAACATAATGATTATTGCTTACTTAACTGTATGGGGACTAAAAATAACATTTGTATTTGCTTCACTGTACATTTTATGTTTTACAACCAGTGATGCAGATCTCTCCTGCCATCCCACCACAGTGCTTTCCCTATTGACTCCTGAACACGAGCCAGGCCTAGAATAAGATAAGCCAAGAATTCACCTTTTTTTCCTCCTCCCTGCAAAAACACAGTTGTGTTAACCGGGTTTTTCTATAATCCCTTACCCCGATTAAGAAACCGGGTTCCTGGTGTCCATGAAGAAATCAGGTTACTGCAGAGAGCTCACAACAACTAGGTTATGTAAGTTCTCGTAAGTGCACCTGATGCAGGGATGATATTGCCATGTCACAACCCAGTTATTATCGTGCATCCATAGTTGTCTACCCGTTAAGTAGCTGCTTTATATTTTTTCTTTTTTTAAATAAATAGAATTTGAAGTTTAAAGTTTAAGACATTTGTATTTTAAATTATTTATGCTGATTATTAAGCATGTTAAGCAAAGTAGGATGGCAAAACCTTGGAAACACATCCTGAATTAGAGGTTAAAGAGCCCTTACCGAAGCAGTGTATCTGCATGTGGGCTGATAAGGTTGTTTTACTGCTGCGTGAGGGTAAAATTCACACCACATTACTGGTGGAACATGGCACCATGGTGAGAAAGATGTTTTTTTGTCTTTATGATTATAACACAGAGGGGGTCACAAGCAGGATAGCAAGCCAAGAGCCAACAGAGCCAACAAAATAGCCTGTTATTAATAAATTAAACCTGGAGTACAAGTCACTGCGCCCCGAAAACATACACATCCAGGGCCGAAAACAGACCGCCAGGACTCATATAGGTTTCCATGTGTGACAGGAGTGAATACGATACAAATAAACAACTGAAAAGCACACCTGCCTGCTTGCAGCGATATCCAACAGAACCTCTCATTACAAACTGGGCCATAAAAAGTCATTTTCGAAGCTGTGCATTTTTGATAGCTTTCCACTTTAACGTCATATAACCGTCACTATCCCTGCCTAAGCGCGTATAATGTCGTGTGTCTCGGCGTCTTAAGGTGTTTCCTGTCCACTTGCGATGTTTCCGGGTGTCTAAAGTGCACGGGACTACTTTCCCTGCCGACGGGCTTTAAATGGGTTAACGAGCCAAGCGCCACGTGACTGTCCAGTTATATAATATATAGGTCAACACGTTTCTCGCTCGCACGTGCAGCCTTCCCCCTTACGTAAAGTCTCGTGCAAAAGTCTCGAATTACACTATGTAGGTGAGAGCCAAAGATCGTCGATATCTGCGATAAAGAATTACTGAAATCTTTTTTTTATCTCAAATTTTGGGGAATTTTGGTGTTAGAATAATTAGACTTTTATATTTAACACCTTTGCCTCTGTCTTTGTTTAAATAAACAAAAATAGATTTATTTAAAGTATTCTTATAAAACAAGGATATGAGGAAACCCCCAAATTACAGACATTTTCACCCAGTCTTAGCCAACTTTCTACCTTAGCTTAATGTTTGCACATATTCTAGCATTAAGATCACAGGTGGGTGACGTGAACAACAGAGACCCCTACTCCATTGAAAGGACACTACCCGACAGCGGTGGGGTGATGTGTTTGCTTCCACATCACCCCAAAACATCTCCCCAAACAATCCCATCAAGCATCCATAAGATGTGCTGGGATAAGCCTGGTCCACAGATACCCCAACCCCCGTGTCCAGCAGCAGGGCAGAAGGGAATCAAATATTACATGGGTGTCAGACTTAAGGCCCAGGGGGCCATGATTTTAACATCCGTGATATAATGGGTATGTTTGTTTTTTTGAAGTTGTTGCTGATGTATGTACATGTGTTTATTGTGTGTACACGTTCATGCTTGGACATAACGGTTTTCGGTTTCTTCTGATGAAAGAGGAAACGACTTTGTAGTTTTCAAAATCTCAGTCTAGCAGGACCACCTTGGTTTAATCCCATATACTCCTTCAATGTTAGCCCATGAACGCGATCGTGTTGGTTCCAGGAAATAAGTTCAGAGTGAGACATCTGTCGCGTGGCAGCTCTGTCTGGAGGAACGCGAGAGAGTAGCAAAGTCAGATCGGTGACGCGCACTTGGTACTTTTTCAGGTCACCAAAACGTGCGCTGCATCGGGTAAACCAATCCCTCACCGGTCCTGTCAAGCCAAGGCCGGCTGTATGAATGAGAGCTCGTTTATTAGCGCCGTCACGGCGTCATCCCACCTTTCCTGGCAGACCATCCACTTCCTGACAGACTTTTAACATATCCAAGGTGTGCCAATGGAAATTCAAGTCTGTGCCACTATTATTCCCAGCATCCAAATGCCAAAACAACGGTTTAAAACGAAGATAAACCCCTTTACAGTAAAAGCTGACATTTTTAAGTGCGTTTTCAAAACAGCAGTACATTCAAATAACCGATTTCCTACGAATGTTATCGTCACGCAGCGAATAGGTTATTTTTGACAGATTTTTTTCTCCATTCCGACTAACGTGACACTGATTCATGACTTCTAGTCGCGCTGATATGAATGGACTCAGCAGCTTATAACACCGTCGAGTGAACACGGCTGTGAATGAAGCGAGCAGGCGATTAAGGACGAGACAAGTGTGAACTCTTCCCTTGTTTCCTAAAGGACCTGGGTGTTCCACTCTCACCCATCCCTCACGTTTCTACTCCCCCCCCCTTGTAAAAAAACAGATAGGGGGGAGGAGGAGTCGGGTGAGAGGGAAAAATGAAGTCAATTATACGACACCCCGGCTCTCCTAACCTCCCTCCTCTCCTTCTGCTACTACTACAGCTGGTGGCTCCTCATGCGCCGCGGCGCTGCGAAGCCTTCACCGGGCACACCGGCTGCAGTCCGTAGGCATGTCGGCTGGGGGCTCTGACGGGACGGCGGAGAGGCCAGCAGGTAGGGGCTCCGGCTTGACGACGTTGTGGTTATTGTGGGTAGCTTAGCTTTGCTTCTTTTTAATATATTCTTTGGGGCAACTACTTTTCTCCTTCAATTAGCTGAAAAAATAAATTAAGCACTAGTGGTATGCCTTCTTCCACGAATTAGTTCTGAACTTCTTTCGTCCCTTGACGTGTTTTTTCTTTAACGGCAAGTTAGGTTATATTGAGTGAAGGTTACTTAAAAAAGAACTTTACAGAGACATTGAGGACATTGAGAGCAGACGACCTCACAGCGGCAGTAACGATAACACTTAACCGAGTGGCAGCAGTCGCAGTAGCCTTGCTGGACCAGCCGCTACAGTGCGTCGCACCGGTGTCTCGAGCAGCTGGCACCTGCCTCCTAAAACCGAACGCGTCGGCTGGCAACGCGCGTGACACCCTCTCCATTCATTCCCGTACTATGTGGTGCTCGTTTCCAGGGAGGGGGACGCGAGCGGAGGGGGGAGTTTTGTCGGCGAACTTCACA